CAAATTATACCATTTGACGCTACATATTGCATTACGAAACGTCGTTAAATAAATAAACAATGAATGAGCCTAAAGGATCTAAGTGGGTGAGTAGAAGGAGGAACTAACAGCAAAGGTACTGGTCAACCAAGTAATACCAGCAGAAGAAAAACCCTGTGTAGTTGACATTAAGTGTTACGGAGTTACTATGTAATGTTTTGTATAGCATTCTGGATACCACTTTTTTACTTTAGTACAAAACTGAATTTTTTTAAAAAGGAATATGTCAGATATTGTAACAGGTGATAAAAGGGAATGGCTTCGTGGATACTGGAAGTTTGAAACAGAATGTGTAGAGAATCAGATTTTTGTACTCCCTGTGCGGAGATGTGGACTATGCTAGACGTACAGTCTTGTAGTGAAATTGTAGTCAGAGAACTAATTTTAAATTTAAGAAATGGCTGAACTGCCATGAAGAAATTTAGTTTAGGATTTTTATTATTACTGTTGTTAAGATGTAAAATATATTCTTAAATTTGCTGCACCTAAGTTAGTCTTACAAATTTTACATCGGAATAATCTACCTAATCAACTCATTCTACTGATTAAGGGTGTATATACAAACAATTTTACATAAATCAAGGTAAATGGGAAAACTCAATCGAAATACCTGTTAGGAAAAGAGTGCTAAGCCCACTGTTATTGAATGTTGTAATGAATGAAATAATGCATGAAGTAAGACGGAATCCGCGCTGGTTCGAGTCTTGGGGGAGAAGAAATTTTCTCATGAGCTTTCGACCAGTGTATGGGACCGGTGCCAACCCAGCATCGTGAGGAAATTGGGGAGCTACAATGAGTAGCGTAATCCGGTCAGGAAAACTAGCAATGGCTGGGGGTTCGTTGTGCTCAACACACGTCATCCTATATCTGGTTGGATGATCGTTCACCTCTGCTTAGGCATGTGAACGTGAGGCCAGCAGTCAAGCTAGTCGGTTTTGGCTCTCTGGAGGTGTTACGCCACGGATTTAATTTTTAATTAAGAGGGAAACAAGATTACGAAATGGGCACAAAAGAGATTAAAATAATATTTCATGCTGCTGACACAGTACTAATCGCAGACCTGCAAAGATTACTCTACCAGTTTTCAAACAGCTGTCAGAAATATTTATTGAAAATCTCCACACACGCACGCATAAACAACAACAACACACTAAATCAATGGCAAATAGCAAAGAACAACTACGTTGTAAATTAGAAATTTAAAACACTAATTGTACACTCTCACTACTTAGGTGTAGGCGGCATAATAATATTAAAATGTCTTAAGTAAATGGGCCTTCTGATACCATAGGTTTCAGGGAATTTCTTGTCTACTTGAGCGACTCCCAGTTCCCAAGAGGGACTCTGCTTTCTTGGAGTTGGTTAATTACGAATTGATGATGGGCGCGTGTTCCTTATTACACTACCAGGTGCGTGGAATTGGGATTATGTGAGTACCGGGTCTACAATTTATGCTGTAACGGCCTTGCTTGCATTGCGTGCTCGGCCGAGTGCACTGTTGGTGTGGGATAGAGATAGCGTGTTCTTCCCGTGAGTCACAGGCGAATCAGTTTCAGTGCCGCTAGTAACAGCGAACTACGAATATTTCTCATCAATAATATATGTTATTACATTAATTGTTCTTACCTTAGATCACAAAAGATGTTCAAAGTGACTTCCTTGTGCTTGCAGGCAAGCTTCACATCTCGTTAACATATTTCTAAATACTCGACGAAGCTCTTCAGGGATATTGCCGAAATGAATTGTCGTTTCCTGTTCTTCTTTTTATCCAAAACTGATCCCGTACTACGAACTTTTTTTACTAAGCTCTCTATCACGGACCTGCTAGGAACACTTTCACCAGGAAAATGTCTGCGAAATTTACGGCGGCATCTTCCGTAGGATGAATATTTGGCATATGTTTCGACTAAGAACACACGTTGCTTAATACTATACACCATATTATCAACGTCAATCCGCGACGAGAGACGCAATGTATTTAACTGATTCGCCGGTGACTCACGGGAAGAACGCGCTATCTCTCTCCCACACCAACAGTACACCCGGCCGAGCACGCAATGCAAGCATGGCCGTTACCGCATAAATTGAAGACCCGGTAATTTTAAGTTTTCAGGTTAAACGTGATATAAAGTTGGTCAATACTTACATGTACTTCAATGTTCTGTCCATTATTATACCGCACAGAGTAGTACCCATCATTCCCGCGACTGTAAGTGTCAGTCCAATGCGACCAGCGAATTCTTCACCGTTCTGCAAAATATCGGTATAAAATAATGTACGCATAACAAATTGCAACAGCACCTCTAATAGTATAAGCATTTCAGCCATTAGCTTGTACAACATACTTAAGGATCTACTTTTAAAATGTATTGCGTGCAGACTATAGGGAAGATGCCGCTTGAAGGACGTGGGGGTAGATAGGATGATATTATTAAAATGAATCTTAAAGAAATTCCAGGTAAACGAGTATGAGCTTCTCAACAGAGTTAGATAGAACGTTTGAAAACTATTTACATTTCAGACAGGACGAAACTTATATTGTGAATATGGTTACTCTGACAGTAATTTGTACCTTTTTAATTATCTTACTTAAAACGAATATTATGCGCGGTTTCCTGTACCTTAAAATACGGAAGAATCATTTGGTTGAGAAACGTTGACATGGAGTTAACAACTCCCTGGTTAATGGCATAAGCAATGAGCAAGAGGACGTAACATGGGTTCAGAAACAGATTCTTTAAGATCTTCACCAGCGGAGCACAGGCGCTGTCCTTGAGGGCTTGCTCATGGCTTGGCGGCGTAGCAGGCATTGACTCTAAAACTGACCAAACCATAAGAATGTGGAGAATTTACGCAAAAACTTCTATTTACACTTAAACATTTATCGAGTGCGATAAAATAGGACACAGAGATGAATACATCCCCATTATGTGTTCACTTTATGTGTTTAATGCAAACAACGGGTAATTAAACTTACACAGAATAGCAAGAATGAAGGATCCTGTGGACAGGCCGGCTGTCCAATAGAACATTGTTGCAAGCCCAGCCCCCACTTCCTCGAGGTTGTCGTGGTTTTGCACCATGATCGGAGGTACGACGAATCCGAGGGCAATGCCGAGCTGTTGAGAGAAATGTTACTTCATCGTCATTTGAAGTCTAAGTAATGGAAGGACTTGTTTTATGTCGTTTGTCGCATAACACGGAGAAAACAAAGTAATCCGATTTCAGGGCAAAATCGTATTATAAAAGTTGATAATAAATATTATAAAATGTGGCAAATTCAAAATATTTGGTAAATGCATTGGCGCATCAAAATTACGTTCGCGAAGAAATTAAGAGCAGATTAAATTAGGAGATTTTAAAACGATTTAGTGAAGGACCTATTTTTTCTGTCTTCCCGTTTCGTATCTAAAAACCGGAAGATTAAAATACACAAAACTAAAATTTTACCAATTAGGGCTTGGGGTTCTCACGACGGTGAGCTCGAAGATGGCTATTTTGTGGTGTAACGCCGTGTTGGGCTATGAATACCCTGATGATGGAGGCATCAAGGATCTCTGAAACGTCGGTAAATTTCTAGCAGACTACACGGAGCTATAACACCGAAGACAGCCATGTTCGCAATCACCGTCGTGAGAACCTCAAATCCTACCAACATTTTTGTTTGGATTTTGCGTACGAAACAACTTTTAAAACAACGCTTCATTGGATTCGGAATAATTTTGCACTTTTTGGCGGTTTAGTAACATTTTAGTCCATAATCGGGTTTTGATATAGTCAGGTTTATGTGAAAACTTATTGTAAGAGAGTTAAACACTTTTGTCTTTCTTACAAATGCAATACTTACTGGGTTGTGGCGAGACTGTCTCTGTGGAACTGGGATTCAGACGGGGCCCTTGCCCGTCGTAGAGATGATTTATGAGTGAATATGGAGCAGCAATTGAATGATACTGACAGGGGGGAAACAGACGCCGTAGGAGAAAAACCTGTCCCAGTGCCACTTTGCTCACCGCAGATTCCCTGGGAGCAAATCAGATCCTCCACGGTGAGAAACCAGCGACTAATTGCTTGTACTATGGCACTGCCAAATACTAAAGTTAGATTCTATATGAATCTGTTCTGACCTCATGTTTCGTGCATGCGGACATACGATACTTACCATCGTACCATTCACAGCTATTGAGCAGGCGGTATTGACTTGATTGGAAGGAAACCAAACGGCAGGCATGAAAGGAGGCATCGGCATAGCAACGGCTTGTGTGAAGGAAACCAGGGTCTGTCCCAGAAAAGTTACCCAGAATAGGCCAGGTTTGACAGAAGCCACCTTGACTAATGCCCCAGCTGCTGTGAAGAATGTTCCCAGGATGACAGACCACCTCATACCCTGGGAGAACAAATATCTATTTACCAGTAAATAAATCTTCTTACTCACCGCTGTGAAAACCTCAAATCTTACATAGAAACATATCAAGCAGGCAAATATGAGGCACTTCTCTCACCACTTTATTCAACAAGTAAGACGCTGGAAACACTAATGCAATGAAAGTAACGTTGAACATTAAAGTTGTGCAGTTTACGTAAAAATTGTCGACACTATAATAACGAACTATAATATTTGTTATGGAGGAATACTGGTACCACTGGAATGCAGACATCACAGCGAAATAAAAGTATATGAGAAGTATGAGCCATCTCTTTGAATACGCTGTATAATCTGTCTTCGAACTAGTTTCACAACTTTCCATTCTGGTCTCCGTAGTCACACTGCCACCACAACTTCCGCTTGTTCCTGCAATGGCAGATAACGCGAGGAATGTGCACTGGCCTTGCGGTTAGTGTCATGTGAATGCCTGCTCTATTTTAATGTGTTCTTTGTGAATGTTTATGTGTGTTCATTAGGACAGACTGAGGAAAAGCCTTCATGATAGCCCCCCCCCCGGCTTTAAATCAAGTTCAGAATTTGTTATCATTTTATCATTTAACGCTTCGGACGCTAATTTTCACGCAAAAGAGGTGCAAAATTCATGAAGAATGAATGCCAAGAAAACCTGTTTCCCGTTGTTTACTAACTATCTTTCCAAAACTAAGTTTCTTTTGCAACAAGCATTCTTCTTCTTGTAGTCCCATAAAGGTACAGGCAGACAAACTTGGCGGCACACTTAACATGAACACCTGGGGAACAGCAACCAGTGTCTGACCGGTGAACGTGACCCAGAACAGGTCGGGCCCCACAGCCATCGTCCTAACACATGCTCCAGCTGCTGTACCCGTTGTTCGCAGAAGAGACAAGTGATTGGTACGTGGTTCCGGTTAGAGCGCATAGTCTGTTGTGGATCGTGTTTCTGGAAGATGGCACCATGTAGTTGTAGGCAGTATTTCCGACGTTTCGGTAATATTTACTGTTTACATCTTCAAGGTTAAGTGCTACTACCATTTGGCCCCTTCTAGTATACTTAGAGCACAGTTCCACATGTCTATTAGATCAGCTGTTGCGTCTGATATGTCGGATGACAGCAAACAGAGAATGAGTCAATACCTTTACAGGGAGTTCTGAATTGCGCAATGTCTGGAACGGTGGAAAACGGGAGCTGGAGTATGAATATGATAAAAGAACCACGAAAAGAAAGAGAGCAAGGTGAAGACAAAGTGGGTGAGTTACGGATTTCTGTCATGGGCGTACGAAGTAGCGGATCAAATGTGTGGACTGATGTATCGGCCGAAATCGCTTCTCCTTTAAGATGGAGGTATAAATGGTCTCCGAAACATTGGCAATGCAGTGTAAATCAACACGTTGCTGTCACCCAGAAAACAGGAACCAAATTGGCACTGAACAATCATGAACGCCTGGAATTTTCTGTTACGTGGTCTGCCACGTGAGCCACGCTGGACAAAGTTTTGGATATTAAGGGACTGTGACGCAGATAACTATTTAAGAATCCTCTTGAATTTAGAAGAATCGTAACAGAACATATTACCCTTATGAATACAAGGCACTGAGGCCACGCTGTACCTACCGACCATTGACAACAGACGGAAGACAGCAAATTTCATTCATCGTTACAACTTCGGTAACACTTTGAAGTACAGTTTCAACGGATGTTTGTTTAAAAATCACCCAGAAATTCCCAACGCTTTTGGAAATGCGTTAGCAATCTTATTATGAACAGTCAAGCTGGGTTACCTCAGTCGGTAAAGTAGTTCGCTACGGGCTGGGTGACCGGACTTCGTTTCCTAGTGCATTCAGACATTTTTCTGCTTTGATTAGAGTTTTTAATAAAATATTTTTTGAGTATCCATCATAATTACTTTCTGCTGATTATATCTGTGATCACTGTTGAATTCCAGATCGTAATATAAACTCATTTCGAAATTTTATTAGAACTGAAGTCGGGAACAAAACTACACTGCAATTTATAAGCTGGTCGAAGTACCTGGTCTTTAGTAATGTTAAGAAGAACATTTTTACCTTTTTATCGAGGAAATTTGAGGCTGGAAATATTAGTGGCACGAATGTGGCCATAAATATCATTGACGTCCAGTCGACGGCTGCGTTACCGACGTTGTAGTAGTTCATTATTTTCATACCGATGATAGAGTATTTTTTAAAATATATATTTCTTGTTAAACATGACAAGCAGTGAAGTGCCATTAGGAAGTTGTAGGCTAACATCAGGTTTTAACTACAAAAGGAGTTAAAACCTGATGTTACGAAGCTAATCACACTGCACAAAATTAGATATTATTTTTTATTCAGTTTTGTCAGATATTTACAATTTTGAAATATTATCGGATTATAAGTTATAAACTTTAATATGATGTGTATACTGTGTTATGTGCCAGCTTTTCACCACGACACTTCTAGATCTAACATTAAGAGTAGTGGTAATGATGGATGGTGATGTGGACCAAGGAAGATAGAACAGAGCAGGTGTTCTCAGATTTCTAGACCGCAGCTATGTTTTGTCAGTGTCCACACACACAAGGCCTTTCAGTCTATGTCCATCCACGACAGTCAATGTTTACGAAATAACTGCTGCATCACTTGGACACTGAATTTTTATATCACTGAGAAGAACCCAGTGTGACCTTGGAACTGGGGCGTCAACTCACAAGAGGTCTGACGACGAGAACGGCTACGCGGCACATTTTCTTTGTACGCTACAGTGATATTTTAGAAATATAGTACATTTTTCTTGTGTGCCTCTTGCCGTCGTAAATCTGAAGGTATCATGGCGGTCAGTCCAGTTCCAATGAGCAGTGTGACAGTCAGGATGATGTTAGCCCACAAGTCACCTATCACACCAATCATCCAGGTGTAGGCCATGGCGTGGAAGACGCTCAGTATTTGCGTCGCCAAAATCACAATACCTGCAGTAGTGCCCTCTGGTTCAGGATATGTAATCTCAGATCCCAGCTCGAATCCAACAGGCATATATCCACCCAAAAAGCACCTAATCAAAAACATGAAACTGTTTAATATACAGAGCGAGTCAAATCCTGAAAGTAGCCACTGTTAATATAGACAATTGGACAAAATAATGCAGCCAAATTGTAAAATAAATGTAGAAGTATTTTAGACAATGTGCAGCAAGAACCAACAATTTCAATGCATATGAAATCATTGTTGCTTTCAGACTTTTAGTTTTATTACCCATCTATGGTACAAACTAAATGCCAGTAAACGTTTTCTAGTTTATAATCACTTACCCAACAAAAGTTGATGTTCCATAGACAAGAATTCTAGATCCAAGTCCTAAGGTTAATGTAAAAGCCAACATGCCCAGTGCTGCAAATCCGTATATGATGACTGTAGTTTCCCTTTAAAACAATAATTTTTTGTAGATCAGAAATCATTTGAATGTAATAATCCACAGACGATTTTTCTGTTACTCTGTGGGTAGCAAGTTGCATCCAGTGACTGTCTCTGAAAAATGTCCACAGATTTAATGGAAACAAATTTTCTATGAAAAGAACATTAAAGAAATTTATTACTATGAGGAATTCAAAGACACACAACAAAATATAAATGTGTGTGATGATTAATTAGTATTGAATTATAAGAAATTCTTGAATATGACGATTTTAAACTTACATGATATAGCTGGGTGAATAGAAAAGCCGATTAGTGACATTGAAAATGAGACATGAGAACTGCATGTTTATGCAATTGGATCATAAACAAAATTAAATTTTAGAAAAATTAAGATTTCCTTTTTCTGACAGAATTACTGAACTAATGAGAAATAAAACATACAAGAAGCCTATAAAACAACAGAATGCTGAAACAGATTATAAGCATATAAGCCTAACTAACTAGATGGCTTATGGAACCTGAAGGTTTATCTCTGAACTAACCAAAGCCCTTCACCGGACCCTGTCCTGGGCCAATAAAATCCAGTTTCCTTCAACTCTAATCTCCCACAGATCCTGCCTGTGATTATCCTCCCATCTACGTCTAGGTCTCTCACTGTAATGAGTGACCGTGTGATATAATTAAAATCCTTCATTTGTAGCACATTCTAAAAAAAGTTAGTTTGAATTTTGAAACATGTTTTTTGTTGTCTTCCAAAAACTTTGTTAAAGGGTAACCATGCCCTCTTTGCACTGCACCCTTCAAATGTATTTCTAGAGTAAAACTGTATGTGTGGACGATATAAACCCATGGCTTTAAAATTGTTACTGATCCACAGACTTGTCTCTAATGAACACTGAAAAAATTTCTTTTTAGTGGTATAAAAGAAGGAACTATTCTTAGAGAAATTTATATTTTTCAAATAAAATTGACTTACTTGAACTTATGTGTCTTGTCCAAAATTATTCCAAAGATAACAGAGCCCACCATTCCTCCAGCCACAAACACTAAGCCAACCTGTCCCGCAAACTCTTCTCCACCCTGAAATGATTACAAATGTGACGTAGAAAGAATAAATCTCTCTTCATACCCAAATGCATAATTGTATAGACATATTAAGTAGAAAGGTCAGTATAATTATTTTATTTTATTTTAAAGCAAATCAAGTACTGAACTTATTCAGGCCTTCCTAAACCAGTTATATTTCTCATACTTCAGGTGTTGCATATTTGCCCACCTTATTTGTTCTGGTTATAATTCATTCTAATCCTTTAGAATTTGGTAAACTTTCTTTGATGGGTGGTCATCCCAGTGCTTGGTGCAAATAATTGATAGATTTTGAAAACGTTTGGACTCAGAACTTATCTTGCAATATTATCTCTAACTTGAGGTCAGTATACAAAGAAATGTCTCCTGTTAGAGCAGATACGTCGTACAAACATACCGGGAAGTAAGTCAGTATGAGTTGATTGAGTAATGTGCAGAGTGAGTTGATAACTGCCACTGCCAGGCCGTAAGTGAAGAGTAGGAGAATGAAGCCCCGGTTCTCCAGTAGCCTCTTCACTCCTGAAAAGAACCCTTCCTTCCTGCTTGCATCTTGTACCTTGAGGGCCTGTTCTGGACTTGGCGGTAAGGGAGGTGCCGCTTGGAAGACTTGAGTGTTTGACACAAAGAACCCCAAATAAAACCACGGCGTAGGATAAAGTGAATTTGACGTAAAGTGTGGTATAGATATCAGCACATTAACATGAGGACAGAGAAAATTAAAAAAAAATGTGGAGCGTCATAACTCTGACATCAGATATTATTAGGTTGATCAAATCAAGAATGGAAAGATGGGCAGAACATGTAACATGCATGAGGTAAATAATAAATTCTTAAAATTTCAGTCAGAAATTCTGAAGAAATTAGAACTCATGATCCAGTATTTGACTCTTTTGAATATGGTCATGAACGTTTTGTGTTCCATTAAAGGCAGAATACTTTTTGATCAGGTGAGCGACTACCACTTTCTCACAATTGACTGATTATAAATCTAATATACCCTGTGACTAATTTAGGTTTTACATAATATTTAAGTATGAACATATCTTAGCAGTTTTTACTTTAACCTACATGAACTACTTACAAGCCACGACCAGGATTAATAGAAATGTACAGACTCCTGCAGTGCAGTTGAACATAAATGAAAGGTCAGACCCGATGTCCTCAATGTTAGCGTGATTCTTAACAAACATTGGAGGCAGGAGGAATCCAGCTGCCATTCCCAGCTGTAAACACAATTATTATGTTATACTGACTAAATACCAATTAGTATTCTTAAACGATAATTGTGCTATGAAGACTTGTTTTGATGTAACTCTTTGCAAACTGTTTGTATCACCTTTCTCTTACCTGAGCACTGATTCATGTTTCTTTCCATTAGCTTTGGTTCAACTCTTATCACATGACGGTCATTACAGTGCAACTAACAGTTACTTGCTTTGCTTGAAGTGCAGCTCTGCACAATTCAAATATGCTGCATATGTGTGGGAAAAAAATTGTTACATATTTAATCTATTCATACCTGGTTTCCAAAAACTCCAATGGAACAAGCAGTTGACACTTGATTTGAACCAAACCATACAGCTGCCAAACGTGGCGGGATGCTCAGAAGAAACACCTGGGAAATTGCTACGAAGGTCTGCCCTGTGAACGTAACCCAGAATCTGTCAGGTGCAACTGATACTGCCTTAATCCACGAACCCAAAGCAGTTCCGAGAGCACCCAAGAATATAGCCCATCGTAAACCCTATAACAAACATAACGTTAATAACAATGTTGTTAAAGCACCTTTAAATGCATTATTAACTAACATGCATGTTGTGGGGCAGGTACTGTATGACAGTTTATTACATTGGCTCAGCAGATGCAAATGAAAATATAAAATTACCGATGATTCTACTGTTTTACTTTTGTTATGTTTTGAGACTCTGACAGACTTGCAGGATAGGAGCATGTGAAATAGTTTTAAAATACATTATAGGTTACTTTAATTAGGACATACATAACTTTGTATGTGAACACACTTGTAAAGTCACCACTTCGTAGACCGAGGAGATGCAAGGATGTGGGAAAGTAACTTTTAAGGTTGGAAGAAGGGTGGAAGTGGCTCTGAATCGTGTCCGGCGTTAGCACCATAGAATCTTCGGTTCTGCTTCGGAGTGTAAACATTTAGCGCAGTAAAAGAACAATTATTTCTGATTCTGTGCAATGTGATATCTGTAGTGCGATTAGTTTTGAAATAACGGATTGTGTCTGAAGTAGATGAACGTGAGATACAGTCTAACCCCGTTAGAACGCCACGTTTACTTTTTAACCCAGAATATCAGGAACACAGCGCCGACTAATGGATTTTTCCCATGAAATGGAAAAATAAGCGGTATGTTTCTGGCTTGTACTGGGATGTTCTGTGTGTGTAGGCACGCGTCTGCACACTGCTGTTTTCCCCATGTCAGACAAACGTAACTGATCGTGATATACACTATGCACCTTGTCCATGTCGTATGTATTACTTCTGGATTGTGACCTGTCTGGCGATTATATTTAAACCAAAGCGTCTGCGTACTATATGTTAGTTACTTAAAGCGTCAGCCCATGTGGTATTTCTGATGGACAAGGTGGCGCTGGGACAGGTTTTTCTCCCATTCCACCGATGCTCCGTATTCACTCGCATATTGAGTGCTGGATGGCATAAGGACCGGTAGAGGTCGAGTTCCAAGAAGACATAATCTCATCTCATGCAACAGCAACTATATTCAAAGTGCGGAAAGCACTTTTATTACGCAAATAACAATCCAGCTTTCTCCCCGCGGTGGTTTCGTATTGTTTGTATAACCAGTGAAAACAAAGTGGTCTAGCGTTGTGCCGGACTCTTATATTGCTTGATGGTACTAATGTTAGCGGATGGCGGCTAGCTGGGACGGCGTTTTACCGGAGAATTTCCGTTAAAATTAAGCAGGGAATTTCTGTTACGAGGTTTTGTTGGGCGCTGTATCGGTGATCGACTGTTTTCAGTATAACAGCACATTGCAAAGTATGTGAGCTGTATGGCGTACGTCCTCATGCCTTTAAGTTTCTAAATCCAAAAGATTTCCCTAAGCAAACGTGGTCCTTTAAAATGTCTTTTTCCTTTTGAAAGTTATATAAATTAAATTTGTATAATTTGTGCACAACTGTCGGCAATTCATTGATGTAATTAGAAGTATAGCCATACTTACCTTCTTTTCGAGAAGAAACAAAGCTGGGAAAACTAGAGGAACAAATGTTGCCATGAAGATTATTGAAGTCCAATCAACGGAAACGCTACTAACATCATAATACCGCATAATTAAATTATTAATAATAGCATACTGTATCCATTGTACATTATTGGCAAACGCGAAACAGACGTACACAAAAAGAATTAGCCATCGACGTATGTAAACTTTATAGTCTAATAATGAATGAGAAGTTATTATTATTATTATTATGGTAGTCTGTGGTAATGATGTGTGCTAAGTGGATCTCTTGTCACAACGGCATTGCGCGTCCTCGGTTTGCGGATATAGGGCATGGACGCCAGATACGGACGAAATAGGCCTAAAGTGAATGTTCATTCACAGACATCACTTTATCGCTTTATGTTCAGTGTACAAAGGCTGTGTGTGGGAAAACGCAAATAATGCAAAATCCGCTTATCAGATGAATTCGATGCAGTAAAAATTCCAGAACTTGAAGGTAAAGTATTTGTTGAACTGGTTTGGAGAAACAAATTTCTAACGCGTATCTCACTTTATGTAAAAGAAAACCAGCAGAGCCAGTTTTGTCGGTTGTGGTGTTTTGAGTTGTGACTTTGTGTAGTCTTCTAGGTGGTTACCAACGTTTCGGAGGAGTGTGCCATTTTCAAGGTACAAGTCAACCCTGAAGATGGAAGTTTTACGTTCCTCCAACAAAACTACACGGCGTCGATACCACAGTAGATATTTTCACTGTCATGAGAACCTCAAATCTCAGTTCTATTGTTTTGATCATTCATTCTGACAGGCCTGTTCTTTTAGGTCATGGTGATTATGAACTTACCACCGGAAACTTTGGCCAGAGTGGAAGACTCAAGTCTCATCAGAAATCACTGTTCTTAGAAGGTTCTGCCAACATTATTTCTAAAATGTCTAACCAAATTCCTTCCCTTCTCGATTTTAATACTACGCCAGTAATAAGTTTACTGCAACTAGAAAACAAACCGAGTTTCAAAGACTGTGTGGCACAAAACTGCAGTTGGTACACAAAAACATCGGTCCAGTTATTTAATCATGCTTTGGAACAGTTTGGTCTAAAACGAAATATGTGCGACAAATAACGCTGATAACCTTGCCACCATCACCATCGTTATGTTCTGATGGCTGTTACGTGAATAAGTATGAATGTCACACAGGGACCTAAATATTTTACCAGTTGTCTGAATAAATTTACGTTTCGCTAAATACAAATGCAAACTCCATGAAACACGTTTTCCAGAAGCCGATAGTCGAACTGTAATGTCCATGTTAGTATTATACCCCACCCCCGTCTCTCAATTAGTCTCTTAGTTTCAGAGTTTCCCACCAAAATCTTGTATGCATTTCTCATGTTCTCCATGCCAGATGTCCCACCCATCTCTTTGTCTTCGTCATTTTATTGCCTAAATAATATGTGATGAAGATCATAAATTACAAAAATCCTCGTTATTTAGTTTTATCCATCACAGTCACGGACATCCGACAAGGGGCAGAGATTGGTAGGGGGTTAGCTAACTGAAACCATCATGATACGAAATGTTACTCACGACCGCCAGACTGGGAATACTTACTATGCAGTCCATCGAACAATTGACGAGTTTAATAGTTTTTACATGGTGAGCCCCTAACAGAGATAAAAATAACTTATTAAAGCCATTGCAGTTATTTCCGATTACGGAACATCCTAGAAGAAGTCATCTTCGATATATTTTGAGTTACTTATCTGTAGCGAGTACGACTAATCGATGGTTATACTGTACCTTCTTTTCGAGAAACATGAGAGCTGGAATGATAGCCGGGACATATATAGCCATGTAGATGATAGCTGTCCAGTCCACATAAATACTGTCAACATTGTAATATCTAATTACTACGTTATTAATGATTGCGTATTGAGTCCATTGCGAGGTACTGACGATACAAAAGAGCACGTATATCAAAAGAATGAGCCATCTTCTCTTATACACTTTCCACTTAAGTACTTCATTTCCTTTGAAACACTTTTCACTCGTCGGTGGCAGTTCTTCCGGCGGGTCGCTGGGTATATCCTTGTATTTTCTTTCGACTGTCATATCGAATGTGGAAGATGATATCGATTCTGAAATATAAAAAGCTTATAATGGACATGTGTGTACAATGGACATCAAATACATAGAATATGAGCATTGAACGGGATTAACGGCTCAGTATAGGTGGGTAGATCGTGAAAAAAGCATGAATCTTCAGGCTTTTTAAAAGCGGGGAATTTCTTCACCAAGTGACGATCAATTCCTCAATAAGAACTCCGACTTATGGAATTAGCTAAAATATGTAGTCACTGGTTAGTCACAATCTGGACTAACCGATGCGAATTATCCTGTTATTATTTAGCCTGCGTTGGTTTGGTGTGCCATGGTGTATACAGATACGTATCGTATGACAAGATACCATCGTTTCTTCTGTTATTTGTATAATACTGTTCTCGTGGGTAGGGAGGAACATCAGAAACACAAAAATTAAAAAATTGGTTCGTTTCCATTTGAATGGAATTAAACTCTTCTACGCAAAATTATGTAATGTAAGCTTATATCTGCACCGTTCAGTAAATGTGTTCCTATTCAATGTATGTCAATGTAACTTAATAATCAAAACTCCTGTGTTTCCTTTGAAGGGTTTATAAACTTTTGTCGAGATTAAAGGTAGAATTTACACGTGGGAGGGATAAGAAATGTGAAGGGACTAGACCACTGGGAGAACTAAGATGTAGATAGCGGATCTTAAGGATGCGAGGTGTGAATGTGAGGGTTGGATTCGTTTGGATGATGACAGGATCCACTGTCGGGCTGTTGTTAACACAGTACGGAAATTAATGGCGGAGAATTTATTAATTAGACGACTCAGGAAGAAGCCTGTGTAACTAGAACTAAAATACTATAAGGACGCCCCCTCCTGTGTCTTCAGGTCACTAGACATACACCCCATATTAACGTTACAAACATACGTTTGTAAACTATAATACTTTTTATCTGGATAACTTAGAAAGAAAATTTATGTAATGCTGGATCCAACACCATAATTTCAATCTATACATTCTTTCATTTAGCACACACAAGTAAAAAAGGCTTTTTTGTGATATCAACCTATGTCCCATTACAACTTTTGTTTTCAAGAAATGTGTGTTATAAAGAGCCTGAAGATGGCCCATCAAACCGAAACACGTTGCTCATAAGTATTCAGTTACGTCAATAAATTGAATAACTTTGTTGTGTGTGACGAAAGAATGTAATTGATATTTCATGTATTTCTAAAATAAAGAATACCTCCACAGTTGGATGCTCGAATTTAACACTGCAAGCCGTTTTTACACTTCACACGCAGGCCTGTAGCAATACGACAATCCTTGGCCTATCCTGTGATATTAACAATAGTGTGTGTTGTGAATTCCATATTACAGTCACTACTTGTCACTCCGTTCACGAAACAAAGGCGCCTTTATCAGTGGTAATAATAAAGACTGGTGTTTTATATAATAACCTCATTATCTTCCAAAACCGCGGTATTAGACTACATTTGCCAACTTAATACTTTAATGGAATTTCCCATGCCTATGACGCAATTTTTAAACTATCATGTGAATGTACAAATACATTTAACATTGACTTTTCAACTGTTTGCCAGATGTCGAGCCTCCTAAGCTTCTACAGGCAAAGTGCTATGTGGGTAATGAACTTCTTTATTAGATAAAGTTTCTCATGCGCATTGTTGTAAGCAGGAAAAGGGAGCCGCTGCAGACTCGATGATCGCCTTCCCCAGAGTCGGACTTGGTCCATGATGGTCATGGGTTCTGTGCATTGGTGAAAAATGTATATCTGCTGCCACCAAACACCTTCTCCCAAACGTGCCACTGTACATTGCTCCAGCCTTAAGTGACAAGTTTATGGTCATCAGGACCTACAAAACCCCTTCCTCCTATTAAAATTGTCTGGGGTGTTTGTTTCTGAGGTCCAATTGATTGATCATTCTACAGCAGTGGTCCCCAACCTTTTTGTGCCTACAGGCACATTTGAGAGTTTATGAGATCGTGGTGGGCACCAACCAATTAACAAAGCCAAATTTTCTTTTCTCTAGACAAATAAGATATGGACACCAAATAATACACAAAACAACATGACGTTTAATAATACAAGAAACCATGCAATCAAAAATACGTAGTTTTGCAAGTACAATTATTATTACTCAAGTGGGAAGTTAGTGTGATGTTTGGCACTGCATTTCATCGGCCAGTTTTTCAAATTTGGGAGTGTAGGATGATGTTGCTGCTCGCAAACAATCGTCAAGATGGGCATCAGTAAGTCGAGATCTGTGCTTTGATTTTACAATGTTCATGGTTGCACGGCTTTCATTATTCAGTAAAACCTCTTTCCGTAACAACGTGGGCACGGCGTTAGGGACCACTGTTCTACAGTGTTTTGACACAACAAAAAAATCTACATTTCTTTGTTTATAATGCTTATTTTTGCTGATAAGTGTGGGAGAATAGGCTGTTGTAAGTGTAGATCTGTGTTCTGAAAATGCTTCTTGGTCTTTCCATCATTGTAGCATTTGAACCAGCAATCGGGCAGCACGTCACATAAGTGCTGTCATTTCGATCATCTGTTAAAATATATCTTCCTATGAATTTAGCCATCTTTGATTAAAAGCTTAGACCAACAATGCACAATTATCATGTAGAGGGATATAACTGGCTTTTATGACTTTTGTATATCCGTTCATATTTTGTCTTCTGTCAAAGCACAAATCCAAAATCTCAACAAAATCATACCATAAGAAATATAATCACAACCAAACACATGATCACAGAAGTATCAATCACCATTTTTAAAATGATGTATTTTTTAATAAATTAATTAGAAGATGTAGAAATCAGAGTGGATATGGATGCACGATCTGGCCCCTCTAGCTGATGCTTTGCAAAGCTCCTCATCAGCGACACCATTCATAACTGTCTTTCTCTGTGTCCCTGCAGCACCGTCTCTTTCCACACTAATCTGCTCCTCTAAACCACTCCTTATTCCCCTGCTTCCCTGCATCTCTTCCCATTTGTATACAATAATACCACTGCCCTCGTGCAACATGACCCATTTTTCCACTGACGCAAAATGTCTAAATACCCATTCAGCAACGTATCCTGATCCAATGATTACCTCATTACTCCCATGCACCAGACTACTTCTTCACCTCTCTTCTTCCTATTATGTCATTCTAATTGCCTCTCCACCCCATGTATGGCCACTGTGTCTTTCATCCGCTCCACTCATCATTGCCACCCTGCTCTCTCTCTCTGTATCCTTCTGATAAGCACAGGTTTTTATTTAACCCAGGATTAGTTTTGGTCAGGTTTTACTCTGCTTAAAGTACAAAACAAAAACAAAAATAATAAATATTGCATAATTTTACCACAAACTTAAATTTTTATACAAAATATAACATTTTATACAAAAAATAACAAAATTATTTGGTAGATATTTTATTCCTGTATGTAGATGTAAACATTTCCCTTCCCAGCACCTAACAGCACCACGATACTGCGGCCATATCCGCACTGACAAGAAAAAAATCACTAATGCCTCCCACTTTGTTCCGACAGGAAAACTGTATGTAATTGCAGACTGAAGTCTTACATGCATGCTTATAAGATATATGAGGCTCACAGTTCCTGTTCTGCAATAGAAATGCAATTAACTGGCAATATGCTAGATTTCCAGATTATCACAAGTTTTTAATTACCATACAGTAATCCCATTTAATTATCCCAAATAACTGTACATTATTTCATAAAACTGCTGTGTTCATTTTATGTACAAGAAAATCATCAATTTATTGAGCTTTAAATATATCAGAAAACAAATGATACTGGTGTCTTGAATGAAATTCTTGGCACTTGTGTGATACAACAGGATGCACGTGGCCTGCCTAAGCAGATGCTTTCCACTTCTGCAAGATTTCAGCAGCCTCCTGCAGCTTCTCATCTGACTGAAATTAAAAATATGATAATATTTTAATGTTTAACATAGCAGTCATATAAACTTAATATTATTCACATAATATTACTAATTACTCACTCATCGAGCAGAATCAACCTGACATAGTCACGAAATTCCTGTGTTTTATAAAACCTGCTGGTCTGTCACAATATTCACAAGAGCTTTCAACGGACCCCTAAAAATCCTGAGCCAGATGAATCAGCCAATTCCATCATATATTTCCTTATTATACAATTTAATATTGTCCTCCTGTGTTAGTGTAGGTCTCCTAGGTGGTTTCTTCCCCTAGGTTTTGACTAAACTGTATATGTATTTCTCATCCCAGGCATGCTACAAGCCATGAACATCTCTTCTCCCTGGTTTGATCACCTTAATATCAGATGATGGGTAGAAATTATGATGCTCCTAAACATGCAACTTTCTTCCTTCCTCCCTCTTTTTTTAAGACACCCTCTACCAATGTTCATCCCTTCAGGTGATAAACCAAGTTTCAAACTCATACCACATACAATAAATAAAATGCTTAACTGTTCGGTGGAATCTGGCATTAGTTCATAACATTTATGGTTAAAATCTGCTGCTAACACAGAAACATTAAATGAGAATTTCCTTGTCTGGAATCGTAATTTGTGTTATTTAGTATCGTAATTGCCATTACCTATTAATGGTTAAAATTTGTTGTCCCCAGAGAAACTTCTTTGTCTCCATTTGATTTTTCCTATTTATGAAGGAAAGTTACCTCAAGTCTGAACCATACCTTTGACTGATTATGTGTCAACACTATCAATTGTTGGATCATCATTACTGATAGCATCTCTACCAATTTCATAGTCATTCTGGACATGAATATTAATTGGTTAGGAAAATTATACAAGCTTCTTGGAATAGTTCATACCTTTATGAAACAGTAGCGCACAGAGGTCTCAATTAAACGTTTATGTGGTTCACTGTAGAATGCTGATGGAGGAATACCTTGAAGCTTAACATTTTTAGACATCCACTTTGTGAAGCGATAATCTTTTAATTCATCTGTCTCTTGGTCCAGATTAACCTTGTCATCTGAAAAGCAACAATTTCTTAAAGAACTGACAATCCAGCACTGTGTATATTTAATGTAATAGTGGTAGAACTGTGTCATCTGTAACTGTGGAAAGGCCAAGTATGTCTGATGTGAATTAAATAACACAGTTATGACTTAACATTATTATATCAGATTACTAACCCAGTGCTGACCAGTCAGCTATCATAAAGTATCCCCCTTCTGGAATGGTGGGTACCATTCCAACATCTGATAAGAACTTGGCCATGAAATCACGTTTCGCTTCTAGTTCCCTTGGTAGACTCAGGAAATAGGATTCAGGTTGTCCTAGTCGACCCAATTCCAACTCGAACCCCTGAGCTACTGCCTCCTGCAATACACAGGATGGTTTTCACTTCCTTATCCTCCTTAGGACATCATTTACTTTTATGCTAGGTTCCACAGAAATGTGGAACACTGATACAATTCACATAAGTCATATTATGGGAATGTGAATGAGGATTTGACATTTTGAACCTATGAAATTTATACAGTATACCTGAATTGGTGTGCTGCAAGTGTATACACAGTTCTGATGTACAGTCTGTAAGTTCGTCATCAATTTAGCAGGACCATATGCCCAACCAATTTTCCATCCTGTCACACTAAACGTTTTCCCTGCAGATCCAATAGTAATTGTCCTTTCCCACATACCAGGCAACGTGGCTGTAATAAAATGTAAAACTGCTTACATATTATTTTCAAATTATTTAAAAGCTGAGACTTTTTTATGATTCACATAGACAAATGCAATAATGCTAGTCACATGTAATAAACTTTAGATGAACTATCAAAACTATGTATTTTATTTTTTATATATCCTCTTCTTCCTCCACTCCTCATAGCCTCTCTGTCTTGTATACCACCCTTGAGTGACCCAAACTGGAATGTGCATCTGTTTGTTGTCTGGAACTCCAGTACATCAACAGATTTGTCCCAACTCTTAAGAGGACAAAGAAAATTTGTTGCCTTATGCTAAAGCAGATTTTTGTGGGCCTATGTTGCAATAATTACAAAATTATTTTCAGTACACTGCATCTTTTTAACACTTCATTCCCGCCAGCAGCAAATTCATGCTCTTTTTCTTATAAATGTATTTAAAAGCAGAATTAGCTGTTCTACCATACTTGATTCTGTCAGTATTCTGATACCTACTAAGATAATTACACACCACTCTACATTTACGGTTAATCACAATTTCAAGGTCAGTCCATCAGCTAGCTGTGTTTCTAATGTCAATACTATTTCCAAGGACACTGACATTTTTATCAATAATTATATTCATAAAACACTTATTTTATATGATTGCTTGTACTTAGATTTTTCTTCTTTGTCTATATTCTAGTTTTATAATGTACAGTGGGCTGCATTTTTTGTTCATTTGCTAGATGCAGTTACTCTCAAGCTGGTTTGAAAGCAGAAATATGACAGCCTCAAAAAATATGCCTTCTAAACCACAAGGCAAAGAGTAAACTGGAAGAAAGGTAGAATGTTTATGTGCATCTGTCTTTGCCACAAATATGTGAAAATTATCTCTTCCGAATACTGAAACAGGAATCAGGGGAACCATTACTTACCGATGCGTATATGTTTGTAAGGTTTGTATACTAGCCACTCATACACCTCATCAGAAATACAAAGTACATTCCACTTTTTACACAAGTCTGCAATAAGCTGAAGCTCCTTCTCAGTGAACACTTTGCCAATTGGGTTGTGAGGAGTGTTGAGAATTATTGCTTTTGTTTTCGAATTGAAGACATTTGTCAGCTCTGATGGATCAAGCACCCAGTCACTTGACATGATTTTTCCACTAGTTTTGTTCTGCAATACAGATGAATTCTGTGTAGACATATATTTTAGGGACTTGGTTTTGCCATACAAGTCAGTTTTTCATTTAATTTCAGTAATTTAATGTAACAGATGAACATATAACATTGAGATCATAAACAGATTAAAGCAGCAATGTTACAATTTTTATTGGGTATTAACCAGCTGTCAATTCACATTGACAATAGTCAATGCCATGTCCAGACAGGTCCAAACAGATCTACCATGTGTCTGAGATGTGAATTAAACAATAATGAATAAAACTGAATCACAATATCAGGCAAGGTTATTGTGTAATCTTTGCATCTGAAGAATGTCATTTAACAAACTGAAAATCAATCAGTAAAACTACTGACATAATTTCCCTATGTAGCAAGAGTGCGTTACCGTACTTACCAACCTAAGAGGTATGAAGCGTGGAGTTCCTCCTGCTGCTCGTACCATGGGGTCATAACAGTCAAAAAAAGGTTCAATTATTATAACTTCATCTCCTGGACTAGTATGACCAGAAATTGTACTGAACAGTGCTTCATAAGCTCCTGATGTGACAAGGATTTCAGTTTGTGAATTAATTTCGCGTCCAAGGAGCTGAGAATACAGCTTACTTAGGGCATTCACAAGCCGAGGATGTCCCTGGAAAGCGAAAGGAGTGTCCATATGGTACTGCTACAGTGTGATTATATTTATTTTATAAACAGTTGAATTTCAAATTATATTTTACATATAGTTAACCCAGTAGCATAATTTGGGATCAGCATACTTTTTATTACTATTTATAAGACAGAGCTGGGTATATATGTGGGCATGTATCAAAATATTCTTTTCTTGTTGGCTTGCTAATGTTATATATAATACAAAATCCTGTTATCCATTGACATTTCTTCTGTTTCTCTGCCTCTGAGCTGGTTTTTACATTAACATATATTGTTTTTATAGTACATAAGTCAGTCTATGTCCACCACTTTACAACCATTTAAGCAATCACTATGTGGTGCCACAATGGTGAATAGTAGAAAATATGCATTATGCCATATCCTTTACACTTCTAAAACACAACATAAAATAGAAAACATCTGTAATCACTTTAGTGTTATTTGGGAGTATGTTTTATTTTACCACCAAAAAACTGCATTATAGAAGTCAGGTGTTAATTGATTAATTCTTTTTGCTGTCAGTGTTGGTCATCTGGGTAATAATACCTTGTAGATTTTCAGGTAGATACCAGTGTTTCAGAGGAACATACTATCATCATCTTCACCACTGTGAGAACCTAAAATCTTAACCTTTTCCTGCATCATTATTTTTTCAGTGCATTCCTAAAAGAATGTAATTTAAGGTAAATGTCTTAGCTCAGAATGAGGGTTAGGTTATTATGTAGACAATAAGTAAAAAATCACTAAAGTACCTAGACATCATCAATCATCAACTACTACAAGGATTGGGCCTATTGACCCATTCTGGGACAGTTGCTCAAGGCAACTTGTCCTTATTAATCTTGTAGGGTGCATTTGAGTAGTAAGTTACAAGCCCACTGCTTCTGCATAATGTGTACTCAATCCTGATTTGTATGCTAGAGCCATCTAGTAGAGAATCAGGTGAGAAATGGCCATTAAATTTTGCTTGCAAAACATATCGTTAGATTCTTTTACATGCCGTAAATCTACGACATGGGACTGCTGGCTTTACTTACTACCTAGACATGAATCAGATAATCATTGTCATATATACATAACAATTCTTTACATTATCATAACAGTTTAACCTTTATGCCCTTACTGTTATGAATCATGCATCATGGCTAATACACAGCAAAAGAGCTGTGCATTTCACTTGAATCATTGACCCTTGGAACTAAAGTCTAGCCAGCAGCACCCATAATATGGGGAGTTTAAAGTCCCTGTTCCAATATGATAAAGGTTAAAAGTGAGAAACACTGATAAGTGTAAAATTCATGTTTGGAACATGAAGGTTTCATAATGCATGGAAGCTTTGTAATATTTACATACAACTTGGAATTCTTTAAACTACAAGGCAGCACTATACAGAAAAAGAAGAATCAAATTGAGAAGATTATTCTTTGATGTGGACTAAAATTAATTTCACAGACTGTTGAACACATTTGAGTGCCACAGTAAAAATGTCAATGCAATATCATGATGGATGTGTGGCTAAACTGCATGTTACAGAAGAGAGATTAAAAATTAACGTCTTCATCGCAAACAAAATCAGAAAAACAGAACTTACAAATCCTCGTGTATACTGATTGAGCAACACATTTTCACCTGTTGCTACCTCTGATAAAGCTTTGGTGACATATTCTGGAGCTGCAAAATCTGGGAAACCTTGTCCCAAGTTCAGAGGCTTATAATCCAGAGCCAATTGGATGTATTCCACCCTGCAATATATGTACATGAAATACGTTGATGCTTGTACATCTCATTTATTATAACAAATTCTGTTAATGTAAGAGACCTTACATTATTATAATTATTGCTGTTTCCACAAAGCAGCACATAAAACAATTTAAGTAATATTGTTTAAAAAAACTGATATAAAAACTATTTTTGTTTAATTGCAGAATATAATATACTTTCATTTACTAGTCTGAAATATGATCTTATATCGAGGTTATACATAGTACAGGTAACCCTCGATTTGCGCCGATTTTGAAATCAGCAAGTCAAAAAGTGAAAAAAATATATTTTGCTATTATTTATAACGTTTTACAATGTATCTAGTACTGATTCTTATACCAAATCGTAATTCTTACATCGCTAATTTTGAATAAAAATTATAAATACAGTCATCTCTGCAATTTCGTTAACGCGAATTTGCTCCAATGAGATCGATGAATCGGTAAAAAGCTGTTTGTGAAATGCAAACTTTTGCCTATGCGAGTTTGCTCTTATGCAATTTCATTTTTTCGCTTTAAACTTTCAAAGGACTGATTTAATCTCTGCGGAGGTACCGGGTTTATTTTACTAAGCGATTTTCTATAGGTCGGCGTCTTACATGAATGCAACTATCGCATAACAGCAGAGATGACTGTACACATCAATCACGTGAAAGAATCGCGGTCAATCGTGGGGACCAACCAATTGCCGACTGTAAGTGTATAAAATATTTTTTTTAAATTCCCTTTATTTTATTTACGTTATTTCAGAGCTTTAAATGTAATGCCATTATATTACTCGTCAATGTTTGGGTGCTGGGAACGCATGTCATTGACTTCCCATTGATTTA